CTCTCTCTTGTTTTCCATTCTAACTTGGGGGTAGTAATATTCACTTGTAGGATTGTTTTTGCTGATAAATGAGATGCATATAAGTGGCTTAGCCCAATGTCATAGTGAGAATTCACCAAATGTTTAGTTGCGTCATCATTGTTACCATCATTGTTGTCATCATCGTGGTCGTCATGACCTTGGTTGGGATATTTTTCAGTTTGTACATTAAATTTAGGGAAAATAAACACATTTGTCAGTGAACCTTTTGTTGCCATCATAATTATGAATCTTTGCATTTTAGACTGTCCTCTATGCCACTGCCAGAATAGTCTTTGTAAAGCATAGAATTTCTTCTGGGGATGGTCAGTAAACTGTAGGTGGTTAGCTCTGCTCTCCTCTCTGTCACTTAGTGAAACTAACAGAGAGTACACTGGTATATCTATAGCTACACCCATACATATAAACAGATCAGGAAGGTGAGGTAGGATGAGGGGAATTAATAGATATCTAAAATTGATAAACAAGTAAATGTTTCATTATTTTAAGGTGGTAGAGAAACTGTCAAATGGTCTTCCAAAGTGACAGTACTTTTTAAAAAATTTTCTATAGAGCATCTATAGAGAGAGACAGCGATAGAGAGAGAGAAAGTAAGAAGGCACCACCCAGCGGGGATGGCCATGGCATAGCCCCCTTCTATTTCATTCTACCTTCAGGGTTTGGGGCTCACACGCACACATGTCCAGTGTGTTTTTCAAGCTGCCACGAATGAGACCCAAACCACCCAGTCAGCCATGTTAGGAGCCAGTCACCTAAACTGCCATGCCACCCACTGGCCCAAGAAGTGGGACCATTTTGCATACTCACAGTGATGAATGAGACTTGTTGCTCTGCATTTTTACCAGCATCTAGTATTGTTGATGTTTTGGATTTTGGCCATTCTGATAAGTGTGTAATGATACCTCGTTGTTTTAATTAGTAATTCCCTAGTAACATATGATGTTGTACATCTTTTTTTTGTTTTAATAATTGCCAGAATGTGCATGTGTTTGCCAGAAAGAGATAGAGAGACACAGAGAGAAAGAGACCGTGAGAAAGCACCCTCCACTGAGGTATGGTCATGCCACAATCTCATCTCTGTTTCTTCATTCTGTTGGAATTTTGATTGTGTGCATGTACGTGGCTGGAATGTTTTTCAAGCTGCTAGGACTGGGATTTGAATTGTGTTGGGCCACATGGATCTGGCTCCGTTAAGATATTATGTGTGTTGGACTGGATCCATGGCCTGGTGAACCCAGCTGCATTCCACAAGGCCAACCTCATGGTTTGAGTCCCAGATCCAGCAGCTTGAGAAACATGCTGTGTGTGGGCGTGTGTGTGACCCTTCCCCATGGGAGGGGAAGACAATTATCTTCTCCTTCTTGGTCTTTCTGTCACTCTCTGGCAAGTACATTTGTCTTCTGGGGGGAAAAGGTATTATGTGTGCTTATTTATCTTTTGTATGTCTTCTTTGGTGAGGTGTCTATTTATATCTTTTGTTTACTTTATAATTGAGTTGTTTGTTTTCCTATTGTTTTTAAGTTTCCTATTTCTTTTTAAAATTATTTTTTCTTTCTTCCCTTCCCTTCCCTCCTACTTTATGACTTATCTTTTCCTCTATCGCTTTTATTTCCTTTTCTTATTACATTAGTGAGTACTTTCTAGTATGTATGCTGAATAGGAATGGTACAAAGGGGCATCTTTGCTTTTTTCCTGATAGAGAGAAACTATCTAGTTTTCACAAATAATTATGATTTAAGATGTAGGGATTTTTGTAGATGTTTTTATCAAGTTGAAGGTTTCTCTCTGTTCTTTGCTTAGAGTTTATCTCTGAATGACTGTTGGAATTTTAAAATGGTTTTCTGCACATCTATTGATTCGATCATGTGAATTTTTTTTTTTTAGCTTTTTGATGTGGAGAATTAATTTTCAAATGTAGAAGTTTGCTAGGACCAGCGGGTGGCATGGTGATTAAGATGCTGTGCACTCCCACATAGCTGGTTATAGTTCAAGTCCCAGACCTGGTGGCTTGCTTTTTTACTTTTCCAGTGTGTGTGTGTGTGTGTGTGTGTGTGTCTGGACAAATTAAAACAGATGAATGAATATATAAAATAAATCTTTAAAAAATGTTGAGGTTTGCATACATGGAGTAAATCCTCTTTAGCCATGGTATATAACTCTTTTTATATGTTATTGTATTTTACTCACTAATATTTTCTACAGAAATTATTTTTTTATGTGTTTATGGTCTGTAGTTTTTCTTTCTTGTAATGTCTTTGCCTTGGGTATTAGGGTAATGCTGGCCTCACTGAAAGAGTTAGGAAGCATTGTCTCTGTTTCCATATTTTGGAAGAGATAGTAGAGAATTGGTAGAATTTCTTCCTTAAATGTTTGGTAGAATTTGACAGTGAATTTACCTAGACCCAGTACTTTCTGTTTTGGAATGTTATTAATTATTGATTTAATTTCTTTGATAGAGACCTGTTTATATTATTTATTTCATTTTGTGTGAGTTTTGGTACTTGTGTTTTTGTTGGAATTGATTCATTTATGCAGATTTTCAAATTTGAGGGCATAGAGTTATTCATAGTATTATTTTTTATTATCCGTTTTATTAATTGCTAAAGGGTACATGTGCTCATCAGAGAGAAAGAGAGAGAGAGAGAAAACAGAGAAAGGGAGGAGAAGGCACCTTGCTATGGGATGTGGTCATGCTGCAATCTCTTTTCCATCTTTTCCTCTTGTCGGGATTTGGGGCATGCATACCTACATGTCTGTTGTGTTTCTCAAGCTGCCACAGCCTAGATTTGAACCGTGGTCAGCCATGTGGAATCTGGCTTCCTTAACCACTGGATCAGGGGGCCAGCCCTCTTTATTATCTTTTTAATGTTCCCTGGATCAGTAGTTTTGTCCTCTCTTTTATTTCTGTTATTAATAATTTGTCTTCTCTCTCAGGAAACCGAAGTAGAGGGTTGTCAATTTCATTGATATTTTCTAAGAACCAGCATTCACTTTCATTTATTTTCTGTTGATTTCTTATTTCCAGTTTTATTGATTTTTGCTTTATTTAAAATTTGTTTGTTCTTCTCTTTATTTTGGATTTAATTTGCCCCCCACCCCCTTTTCCTAGCTACCTAAGGTAGAAGACTTTTGATTTTAGATTTTTATGTATTTCTAATATATGTATTCACTGCTACAAATCTCTCTATAAGTACTGCTTTAACTGTATCCCACAGCTTTGTTAAGTTACATTTTTATATTTATTTAGTTAAAAATATTTAAAAATTTTTCTTGAGGGCTGACTCTGTAGCATAGCAATTAAGTACTGTGCAGAGGAAACAAGATTCCACATGATCAACCATGGTTCAAATCCAGGCCCTTGTGTTAGCATACTGGCAAGTATGTGTGTGTGTTCAGGATCCTAACAGAATGGAGAAATGGAGAGGAAAAAGGATTGTATCATGACCAAGTCTCACTGTGTGTATGTGTGTATGTGTGTGTGTGTGCTCTCTCATCTATGTACTCACGTGCATACACATTATCTGGCATTTTATTTTATTTTGCTTTAAAAATTATTTATTTAATTTTATTGATCATTATTATGAATTTTTTAATTTGCTACAGGGCATGTGTGCTCATGAGAAAGAGAAATCAAGCCACCAGACCCAGGACTCGAACTGCAGGTGACCATGTGGAATCCAGCATATTAACCACCATGGCACCTTCTGGTCCCATTAAAAACATTTTTTTTTTCTTGAGACTTTTTGACAAGTTTTTTGTTTCTTTTTTTTTTTTTTTTTTTTTTTTTTAATTAATGCTTTATTTATGTCCTAATATGCCTGGTGTTTTTCAAGACACTGGATCTGAGATTCAAACTGTGCCGTAGGCCATATATCCAACTGTCTTACCCACCAGGCTGCTGGCTGGCCCATGTTTGTTTATATTTTGTTAAAAACAGAAAGTAGAAATGTAATGAGCACCTAACATTTTTTAGAGCCATTATTTTTGGCTGTGGTTATAAATTTTGGCCTGATTTAATTACTCAAAAGCCAAGATTCAAATTACACATACTGGATTTGCTTTGGTTTATGTTGGAATATATAGGACATAAAAAAGTCATTTTTAGATGAAGAATAATTAACCTTACCAGTTATGTCATCCCCAATTTATCATACATAATTATAAAACAGATACATTAAGATCTAATTGTTTTTATTACAGTCATTTTTTCCATGAACAAATAATTTACCAAATGAGAACTTTGAGTTCACTTAGAGTGCCTCAAGATTTTCATTTCCTTAATATTTATGTACTTAAAGACCAACATTTCATAAATTATCCTATATTGTATGATTGTTTATAACTTATAATTACTTTTTTTGATAGAGCATGTATGTGCATGCACACACACGTGAGAGTGAGAATGAGTGAGAGAGAGAAGCACCCTAACTGGGCCTCGTCCCACTGTGATCTGCATTGCCCAGCCCTCCAGCTCCTCGGGATTTTGGGCCCCTAGGCACATAGTGTTTAGGCCCAGCTGGAGGTTTAAACCTGGGTTTGGCAATGGGGCTTCCTATCTTATAGGGTCCTTTGTTACCTTTGTGACACAGCAGCTAGGCCAATATTATTATATGCAGTTCATGGATAAGAGTACAATAGAGTTAATTATTATATAATCATAATTATAGGTGATATAAGAGGACCTGGTCCCATTCTGTATACAAGAACATAAAAAAGGAATGTAGACAGTTGGGAGTAATTGATGCAGACTGCTTAACCGGGCCAGCGAGAGATCAAGAACAGGCGAAAATATGCTTACTCTAATTAATTACTATCAGGACTAATATATTCTGTTTCTTTTATTTACTTATTATTTTTTTAGTAACTACTATTTAAAATATTAAATGAAAAGTTAACTTGAGTTTTACCCTAACAAATTGAGGTAAAGAGAAATGTTGTTGCTCCTCTCTTCCTTCTCTTAGGTATAATATTGAGCCTAGTTTATATTGCCCGTTTTTCTCCCTTGGAGCGTGCATGGAAGGCCTGAATATCTTGTTTAACAAACTGTTGGGGGTTTCGTTGTATGTGGAGCAGCCTGCAAAAGGAGAGGTGTGGTGTGAGGATGTCCGAAAGCTGGTAAGCCTCCTGTGGGGCAGGGAGCTGCATCTCCATGTCCTTTTGGTTTGGTCACTGAGTCTACAGCAGTTTCATCTTTCAGTTAGCGTTGCCCCGATGGAGTGTGTCTGTCTTATTTCTGATTCACAAAAAAGATCCAAATCGCCACTTTTGATTTAGTATATGGTATAAAGGATTTATTTTTTATTTTAATTTTTAAAGAATTATTTATTTTATTTCTTTTTTTTAATTATTAATATTATTTGAATTTTGCTATAGAGTACATGTACTGAAAATAGAGAGAGAGACAGTGAGAAAGCAAGCTGCCAGGTCCGGGCCTTGAACCTTAGACAGTCATCTGAGAGTCCAATACCTTAATCACCATGGTACCTGCTGGCCCCTGCATAAAGGATTTAAACATATAACAGTAGAGTTCTCAGAGAAAATAATTTCTTATAGGAACTTGATAAAAGGTAGACTCTTCATATTACCACCTTCATATGTTCACAAATACAGGTATAGGAAACTTTGTCAATACTTTTTATATACCCTCCATACTAAGTGTCTACTCTGGTTAATTCCAAAATCAGTTGCATTAGCTGCCTTTCTTTTCTGTCCAACCCCCTTTTTATGTTACAGGGCTTATATTTGTATTAGATGTTAATTTATAGCCTGTATTCTGATTCGTTTGACTTTGTAGTATTTTCAAGCCTACAGTTCATTCTTCCTCTATTAAGGCCCACTTTTTTTGAGGTGTGAATATTTAAACTTTTTCCTCCTGTGATTTTGAGGCTTTCTTGACCCATGTATTTGTCACCGGGGCTTTGTGTTGTGGAGATAGTTATATTGTTTCATTTTTGCTTTCTGGCTTACCACAGTGTACTTTTCTTTGTAATTCAAGAAATGTAAAGTATCTCCTTGTCTCAGCTGTTTTGTGAGCATGGAATAGGTATGGTAGTGAGATTAAAGAGAGTCAGTGTGGGAAGATATGTAGGTATTTACTTACCTACATATCTGTTTATATGTTATGAACTTCCAAAATTGATAGAGACTGATAAAATGCAGAGATATCATTAAAAAAAGAAATTGGTAACAGGACAGAAAGGACAAAGTACAAGTGACAAGAAGCTTCACCAGACCTCCACCAGGCAGCGCCATGTGCCTGTTTTGTTCACTGCTGTACCTCAAATGCCCTGCCCGGTTTCTGGCACCGAGTATGTGCTTAGTAGGTGTTTGTTAAATAAATGAAGACAGACTTGTAGGGAATTTTAAAGCACAAATTTGAGATTTCCTCTGATAGAATCACAAAGTTCTACAAAGACAAGGTGGAGACTAGTGGTCTAGTCTCTCCTATGAGCTGTGTCTCTTATAGGCCCTTTGTGGAAAGAGAATAAATGATGATACTGGTTTTCAAGTGAAGTTAGGAGCTGCATTTTGTTGCTTTTGAACTCAGGGGTTATCATTTGCATGAGCACGTGTCTTTGCCTTCTGAGATGTGAAGAAAAGTATTTTTGCTACTAAAACTATCCAGGTGGCACTGCTTCCCACAGCTTTTCGGTGGTTCATAAACAGCCTGTGGAGAGCTGTGGTTGGCAGCGCCATAGAGGACTGGCATCAGGACAGGAGGCTTCACGAGGAGGAGCTCTGGGCACAGAATTCCCAAATCAAAATCATTCAAGAGATGGAGCAAAAGAGTGGGAGGAGTCTTTGTTAAGATAATATGGGATGTGGAAAATAATGAAATGTCTTTATGTTCAGCTTATGTAATGCACAGATTCTTGTGTTAGGGATATTTTCCCACTTTCAGAGTTTCCAGTGGGCTCTTTCATCACTAATTGTAATTTTTTTTCTAGGCTGTCGTTCATGAATCTGAAGGATTATTGGGGTACATTTACTGTGATTTTTTTCAGCGAGCTGATAAACCACATCAGGTGATCCTTTATTTACAACTTGGTCTCTCTTGAACTGATAAGCAGTTGTATTAATATGAACTATATATAATTTTTTAGTCCTGTTATTTTTAAAAGGTATTAGTAGGAGTAAATTTGGAATTAGGCTAGGATGTAAAAATAAGGTTATGGACATAATAATCCATCTCCGCCACTTTTTCCAGGGACATGATATAATGACAGTGATAGCGATAGTGAGAGCTGACATTTTGTGAGTCCTTTTCTGTGCCTGGAGCCCTATACACACATCACATCTTCTGATGTTCACCTCAGCCATTCGAACTAGGTTCTAGCATTTTGAGGAAACTGAGGCCAGAGTGATTGTGTATCTTGCCCAGAGTCACACAGCTAAAGATTCTGTGATTTGAATCCGGACATACGTCCTTTTCTGTGCCTGGAGCCCTATACACACATCACATCTTCTGATGTTCACCTCAGCCATTCGAACTAGGTTCTAGCATTTTGAGGAAACTGAGGCCAGAGTGATTGTGTATCTTGCCCAGAGTCACACAGCTAAAAGTGCTACGATTTGAATCCGGACATTCTGACTAGAACACCAGCTCTCAAGTCCTTTCCATACTTGACAGTGAACCTTGTTTAAAATCGCAGAAGCTCTGCCGATACGGAAACCTTACCCCCACCAGTTAGCTCCTTACGTGGAAGATGTGAGGTTCCTTTCCTCCCCTTTATCTTCATCCCAGCTTTACCGATTAAAGGGCTTCAGCAGTTTCATGCATATTGTTGGGAAATGTCAAGAGTTCAGGTCACACAGGTGTTAACAGATGACATTTGAGTAGTGGTTCCTGATTTCCAAAGCTTTTTTATTTTTATTTTTTAAAGCGAGTTTGACTATAAGGCATGTATGCTCATCAGAGACACAGAGGGAGAGAAAGTGAGAAATCACCCCCCACCCCCACCTGGGGTGATGGCCATACCACAATTCCTTCTCCTCTATTCTCCTCTTGGGATTTTGGGCACCCACGCACACATGCCTGGCATGAGTTCCAAGCCGTTGGTACTCAAACTGTGGCAAACCATGGGGGTGGGGTGTCTAGCTCCTTAACCACCAAACCACCTGCTGACCCCTCCAAAGGCATTTTAACAGACACAAGCTTATAAAATCTGGACGGCCACTGCAGAATTTGACAAGGTAGCATTTAGAGATGAGGTTCACAGAGGCAAACCACTTTCCAAAGTGGTGTGGCTAGTGTGTGTTGAAGGTGACCTGCGTGCCGGCCATCAGACTTTCTCATTGCCTGAAGGGAGGTGGAGACTCTATTTTAGTGGCGCTCCTGGTAGTTGACCTGGGGTCAGCCCCAGATGGAGCAGTTCCGGCTGGATGTCCTTGCACATGTTATTTTACATTGCCAAGACTCCATTTCTGTCTTCTCACCGGGGAAGTAAGATACCTGCCTCACAGAGTTGTGAAGAGTGAGACACTGTCCGTGGATCTCAGTGTAGGGCTTGTTCCAGAGTAAGTTACTCCAGATTCCTTCTTGATGAGTTTTAGAGCCCTTCACTTCCAAGGGATGGAGACAGCGGACATAGAAAGTGCCTGCTGCTTCATCGTCTGACACATAGAAGAGTCGAAATGAATATTACTGTCCCTTCCCCCAGTACCTAATGTCTGTCCCTTCTCACTTGTGGACGTCATGAGGGCATAGATCTCACCTTTGGGTGATGTATTTCCAGCGTCAGCAACTCATCAGCACTATGAGTGTTTTTGGAGTGAATGAGTGAATTAATCAATACAAGATCTGTGTTTCAAAAAACTGAAATTTTGGCAGAATAAAATGTTCAGAAAAATATGTCTGTAACTACATACATAGAATACGAATAGAATTAAGTAAATTTAAATTCATATTTTGATATAATTTTATGTTTATTAAAACTATCCAACTATTTAGATTTCTTAATATTTTCTTCTTGTTATGTTTTCCGATTTCCACAGGATTGCCATTTCACAATCCGTGGTGGCAGACTAAAGGAAGATGGAGATTATCAACTCCCGGTCGTAGTTCTTATGCTGAATCTTCCACGTTCCTCAAGGAACTCACCAACTTTATTAACTCCTGGAATGATGGAAAACCTTTTCCATGAAATGGGACATGCCATGCATTCTATGCTGGGACGTACTCGTTACCAACATGTCACTGGTGAGCCATGAGGAGGGCTTACGAACACAGTCCTTTAAAAATATTTTGTTCTTTTGAATTGGTAAAAGGGTTTTTTCATTGGAACATCTCACTGTTTAATAATGTCCATGGTCTTTTACCTCAGATTGTCTCATTATGTCCTTCCCCTTGGTAATGCAGCCAATCCTTTTACACTTTTTTGTCTCTTTTTTAAAAAAGATTTTATTGTTGGGGGAATTGCTGAAGGATTCTGTGCTTGCTTTTTGAATTTTATTTTGTTTACTTACTTTTTAATTTGTCAGAAGGTGCATGTGCTCATCAGAGACAGAGAGGAAGAAAGCATCCCTTCGGTGGTGGTGGTGGCCATGCCTCCTTTCTCTTCCATTCTCCTCTTGGGATTTTGGGCGTGCATGCAGACACATCTGGCATGTTTTTTAAGCTCTCAGGTTTGGGACTCAAACCACTCAATTGGCCATGTGAGATCCAGCCACCTTAACCACTGTGCCACAGTCTGGCCCTCCTTTTGCCCTTGCTAACATCTGTTGCTAGGGAATATCTCAGTTGGCTCTTGAGATTGTACCTTTTTATATTCGTGAGTATTGGTTATATAATTCAAACTTTATAGCTTTGTATGTGTGAATAAATATGTATCTCTGTATGTAGTACAGAGTGAGTGAATAAATAAATGTTACCTCTTTTTTACTGAAAATCAGTTAGAAAACAAAATAAAACATGTTTTGAAAGTACAGTAAAGTATTTTAAAATTTTTATTGTTTAGATTTTTGCCATAGGACATGTATGCTCACCGGAGAGAAACAGACAGAGAGAAATCACCCCCCAGGTGGGGTGCCCATGCTGGAGCTCTTTCTCCTCCAGTTCTTCTCTCAGGATTCTGGGTAAACAGGTACTCCTGCCCAGCATGTTTTTCAAGCTACCGTGTCCGGGACTCAAACTGCAAACTGGCTATGTTGGATCCAGCTTCTTAACTGCCACACCACCTCCTAGCCCTATTTTTCTTTTTAAAAGTTATACTTATAATACCTTAAATATTTACAAGAGTATTTTTCATTTTTTCTGTGTAAAATTATAGTTGAATTTGTTAGTTTTTTTTTTGTTAAATTCAATTATTTTTAAAGCATAACTTTGTTAGTTTTTTTATGCTGATACAAGACTACATTTGATGCGATTATAGAATTTCCTTAGTTTTCTTATCTCTAGATCTTGTAATGGTTTATTTAATTTATTATTCTTGCTACTATTTTTAAGTTTGCTATAGGGTATATGTGCTCACCAGCGAGGAAAAATGAGAAAGCAAGCCACCAGGTCCAGTATTTGAACCACGGTTGGCCATATGGGAGTCTGGCACTTTAATTACTATGCTACCTGCTGGTCCCTTATCTCTAAATCTTTTTTTTTTTGAAGCGAGGTTTTTTTCTATAGGGCATGTGCACTTGCCAGAGAGATAGAGAGATAGAAAGCGAAAAATCACCCCCCAGGAGGGGTGGCCATGCCGTAATCCCTTCTCCTCCATTCTCCTCTTGGGATCTTGGGCACGCATGCACACGTGCCTGGCATGGGTTTAAGCCTAACCTGAAACACAGTCAACTACGTGGGTGTTCAGTGACGTAACCATTATGCCGTCTGCTGGTCTCTTATCTCTAAATCTTAAGATCACTATCATATATGGTCAGCGTTAGACCATGTGATCAATTGTTGGCATCCAGTAGTTATCCGCTAACTTTATACACATGGTATTTTGGCAAAGGAGAAGATACTTGAAAAGATTATAGGTGGGTTAAACAGAATAAAAAGTATTACCAAAAAATTTTTACAGGAGTTGCTATTTTAAGAAATTTGGGGTCTAAAATACTGCTTTTCCTCCCTGAGGACTGATTTCATAACAAAAAGCAATCAATGGATAAAATAAACTACTTTTAAAACAAATGAAGAAAAAAGCATGTGGTAATGGAATTCACTATATTTAATACAAGTCCTATATTAATGGTAAGAATGTTTTAATTTGTGTTTCATGTATAGCCAGCATAGCTGAAGACAGGTTTGTTTGTAGAGGGTGTGAGCCATTGCTTTATAAGGTGCTTTAGCCAGCTGTGCAAATATTTTGTTTTACTTTTGATATAAAGAAAATATATAGGATTATAATAAACTTTTCTGCAAATATGTACAATAATTTTATAGAACTAAAATATTGATTTAATGAATTAAAGCTTATCATAGTTTATCAGAAGTACAAATAAAACTTTTAAAAGGATACATAAAAACTAAGATAAATATGCTGATTTGATTCTCTAGCCTTTTCTCTGCTTCCCTAATTTCAGGGACCAGGTGCCCAACTGATTTTGCAGAGGTTCCTTCTATTCTGATGGAGTACTTCGCAAATGACTATCGAGTGGTTAACCAATTTGCCAGACATTATCAGACTGGGCAGGTAGGAGCACTAATATTTCTTATTATCCTTCGAGTGTGATGGTCAGCTGTTAAGACCTACTAGATAAAGTTAAACTCTTCTTCGCTTTCACCCTCCCTCAGTACCAGAATCCTTTTATCATCTTTTTTCCTTGATTCCCCATGGCCTCCTTTTTTGACTGGACCATAGAATTGCAGCTCTAGCATAGAGTCACGTATTGAAAATAGCCACTCTTTAGCATATACCAAGTAACGTACCATTTAGCTTTTTTAACCATCCCCTGAGAAAGCACTTTGTCCCCGTTTTCCAGATTAAGAAACAAGCTCTATATAGAATAGGCACTCAGTCAAGCCCGTCTCACTTCAAATAGACCTTTGCTTTTCAGTATTTGTTCTGTTGGCCTGAATTTTTATGTTATTTCATAAAACTCAACTACGTTGTGATAGTTTGCTAGCATGCTTAACATCTAGATGATGCTAAGCCTGAAAGTTCCTTAATTTCAAATTTGGATTTAAATGGCATATTGTAGTTTTAAAGATTTTGAAGTGAAAATGAGAAAGACATTATGGTAAGTGAGCGGCTCTATAAGAGTCACTTCAACATTGTGCTGTTTACTGTTGACATGTGCACTGGAAAATGTGTTCTTGCACTTTTCTCAAAATGGTTATATAGTATTATATCAGGTGGTGTTTTTCCTCTCAGAGTGTACCTCCTTGGTGCAAATGTACATTATATTCATCTTTGAATCCCTAGCACTTAGAATCTTGCCTAGCACTTAAAAAGTACTTAATTAAATGAAGGAGTGAATAGACCCAGAGAAAGGACCAAACCACCTTTGTGATTCTTTTTTTTAAAATTATGATTTGATCATTTATGTTTTGTACTTAATTCTGTCCTATTATTTGTTAACTATAGCATAATAGATAGGTTTCTGGATAGCTAATTTAACTGAGTCTTTATCATAATTTGTTCTAGTTATTAAGATGGAAAAATAGAAATAGTTGTGATCCAACAAACTACCAGTTCATTAACCTGCAAAGAATTACTCTGAGAATTATGTAGACTCAGCCAACAATACAGAAGCACATACTCACCCGTTAATAGCAGTACCCTTCTATGGCTATACATTTTGAGGTTTGGGAGTGATTGGGGATACAGTGATTGCTCCCACATGAGGCCTGTTAAAGCAGAGTTATGTGTACAGAGCCCATGGCTGTGAGGAGAGTCTCGCTATTGTGCTTGAGGATGTTGGGAGAGGCTTCAGAGAGGAAGTACTGGAGGAATGAGGTCTTGGAAAAATAAGTAAGAGGAGCAGTTTGCTGGTCAGCTCTCAGTAGCCCTTTTCCATTCCCTTTAAATATATTTGTTGAGGACATGCTAAAGACATAGAGGTCCTTCTGTCAAGAAATAGTTATCATTGGGACCAACAGATGGCATAATGGTTGCATCACTGGACTTCCACAGTTGACTGTGGTGTGAGTCCTGGACCCAGCCACTTAAAACTCATGCCAGGCGCATGTGCATACATGCCCAAGATCCTAGAAGAGAATGGAGGAGAAGGGATTGTGGCATGGCCATCCCCTCAGGGGGTGATTTCTCACTTTCTGTCTCTCTGTCTCTCCAGTGAGCACATGCGCCCTATAGCAAAAATTTCTCTTAAAAAAAAAAAAAAAAGAAATAGTTATGTTTTTATTCTGTACCAGTCACTGTTCTCAGCATCCAAGAAATAGCCAATAATCGGTCAGACAATGTCACAGAGCTCATGTCCTATAATTCTTAGAGGACCTGAGTCAAAGCCCAAATGAGGACATTCTGGCCAGAAAGAAAAGCCTATGACAAACATGGAGAAATCCTCCATGAGAATTGCTTGTGAAGGCCGAGCATGACAGCAGGTGCAGCTAGAGCCTATGAGGAAGGAGGCAGGGCTGGGGTGAGGGACAGAACATAGCTCTAGATTTTATATCGGTTAGGGTCAGATGGTGAAGGGCAAGTCACAGGAGTTTGGACTGTATTCTAATGGGGATAGAGTCATGAAAGGTTTTTAGGCAGAGAAGTGACATAATCAAATTTTAATTTTTATTCTGTGACTCCACATGCACAGAGAGGGAAAACGACAAGAGACAGAAAGAGAGAACTCTTGACAGAATCTCGTCATGCCCCTTCCCTAGCCCTCTAGCACCTTAGGATCTTGGGCAACCATGCACAGGTTTAGTGTTTTCAGGTCAACTTTGGGATCTGAACCTGTAGTCAGCCATGTGGCTTTCACCACAGGAGTCTAGTTCACAGTGGGTCACACCACCTAGACTGGGACATGACAATTTTTCTTCTTTTTATTGTTAGAGGGTGCATGAGCTCGCCAGAGAGGAAGAGAGAGGAAGGGCGGAGGAGGTACTCCCCAACACGGCGTGGTCATGTGGCAGTCTTTTTATTCTCCGTTTAACCATTCCGTCAAGATCTGGGGCATGCCCATACATGCACCTGGCATGGTTTCTAAGCTGCTAAGATTGGGATACAAACCGTGTTTGGCCATGTGGAATCTAGTTCCCTATGCACAGGGCTTAACCACTGTACTACAGGGCCAGCCCAACATAATCAAATGTTTAATTTTTGAAAATAACCCTGGGGTCAGGGAAGAAGATGGATTAGAAAGGGATGAAATTAGAGTCTGAGATAAGCCTTAGTCATGTCAGTAAGCTGCCAAGGCTTCCTGGAAAGGCAGGACCGAGGCAGGGCATGGGTCGTCGTCTATCGGCCTGCCACACCTGCTCTCGTGTGAGGGAAGTTTGCTTGAGCTACTCAGGAAGCGTGCCTGCTTACTGGGCCTGGTTCATGTTGAAAGATCTCTGACCCTTGCTCTTGCCTGTCCTACCCACCCTTGTCTCTGGAAGCCGCTCCCAGTCTCTTCCCCTGCCCTTCACCCCCTGCACACTTAAATCCCAGTGCATTTGCCATCTCTACCTCTTGTCATTGGACTGGTTTTCTTTGGCAGTGTTTGTGCTATTACGCCTCCTCTTGAAGTCATGTCCCCCTCCTGGCCACTGGATTTCTCACAACTCTCCCCTGCTGCCCATTCCTTTGTCAGCCCTTTGCAGCCAGCTTCCTTGGGTCCCACTTTTGGTTCCATGGCCTTGCTCAACCCTTGGCGGTCTGGAGTGAAGGCCTGCAGACCTGCATTTAGGCAATGAGGTATGGCTGAGCACTGCTCGTGGAGGTGGCCAGCAGGGCAGGGTGCAGGAGTCATGGGAGACTTCCCTGGGAGGATGTGGGGCTAATTAGATATCTGGGACAGGTGAAAGGAGGAAAAAGGCAAAGATGGAAGGTCTGCCATCAGAGGATTCTGGAAGAGGGTCAAGTTTGAGAGGGACGATGCTGAGCTTTTTTTTTTTTTTGGATGTATCTATGAATATTGTTTAAGAGGCCTTTAGTAATAGCATGGGTGTGAAACTTAGGAGTCAGACACTGCAAATATATGGGAATAAATGACAGAGAAGTGGTGTTTGAAGTCTAGAGAGACAAGGACATTTCCTAGAAAAAAGCAGGAGGCATCTAAGGAAACTGGCATCATTGGAAAGGAGCCGAGAAGTGTGAGGACATGCTTGTACTGTAAGGGTGACTGCCAAAGAGGACCTGGAGCCTTTCAGAGTATAACTTTTTTTAGAGTTAAATCTTGGGTTTAAATTAGCTGCAAATACTAATATGAACTTTTAAAATGTTACTATCTACTTGCAAAACTAGCAGAGGAGTGAAGAAGGGCTAGAACCACTGCTTGGAGGGTGATAAAATTGATGCTCCCCAAAAGGGGAGCCCTTGCCAATGCCTGTGTTCTTATTTAGTGCTGCAGTAGGAAGAACCACGCTTGAACTACAGTTATGTTTGCTTAACAACGAGGGTCCATTTTGAGAGGTGTATTATTAGGTGATTTTGTTGTTGTGCGGAAATTGTATGCGATAGTACACTTACACAATGCTGGGTGACATAACCTACTACTGCCTGGGCTATTTGCTTCAGCCTGTTGAGACCTCTATTCTGTATATGGTCCATCACTTACCAAAATGTAGTTATGTGGTGCATGATCGCAGAAAATTGCAAGACACCATAGAAACCCCAAAATACACTCTCAGAGAGAGAAGACAGGAAGAAAGCATTAAACTGCTTTGAATTACTTTAAGTTTCAGGCTCCGAAGATGTGTCCAGTGCCCTAAAGGGACTTGCAGACACAATCTCTAAAGAATTTAAAATAAATTTGTGATCCCATGGAGAATGGAAAACATGCCCAAAGGCAGGAGATGTGTAAATGCTTTGAGCCTCACAAAGGGCTTGCCTCTTCTTGTCACTAATTAAGATACCAAACAGCTTGATTTTTTTTTTTTTTCATTTTAAGGGCATTCCTTGCCTTAAGGATAAGGAGTTAATTCCCTAAAATCCAAGTCTTTGTAAATAAATGATATTTAAGCCTATAAGGAAAAATAACAGGGTTGTATCTTTATACTTAATTTCCCTCCTGCTGCCTTTCACGAAAGAAGTTTTTAAACATTACTAACTATACTCCAGAGAGCTCTCACAGTTCAAGATAATCTGTCAGTAATTTATTAGCACCTACAAATATTACATGTGAACTAGAACAGAGTATAGCTGATGAATTCCTGGTGATGGAAGAATTAGAAATATGCTTATCAGATTTTCAGATGCCATACAGATAGCGAATGCCACAGGTGCTTAATCTGAGGCTTGAAACTGACTTGACAAGCCACAACATCAAAGCTGACACAGAATTCAATTTAAATTCATCTTAAAATCAATAGCACCAGTGTAGAAGGAGTACAGACTTGGTATTGGTTCAGATACATAATAATCCTAACATGATCAAAGGCTGGTGGAGTTCCCCCACAATTTTTGTCTGGTCTCAGGCTGCATTAGAGGTGCTGTCTCATCTGAGGAACTCGAGATTATTGTTCCTCTCCTCAGTGTTTATTGGCTCCGAAGAGGGAGCACAAAATGATGTGCAGGTGCTCGACACTTCT